CTTAAAAGAAAAAAATGTCTTGGGCCAACCCTATGTTCTTTATATCTTCTGTAACTTCATGAAAAACCTTAGCAGGTCATAAAGGAGTAGGAAGTTCAAAATGCTGCTCAAAATGTTTTTAGAAAAACTTTAGAAACTTGGTATCCTCCACTGAGAACCTTATCACACTCTTGTTCTTTCTTGCAGAGTTAATCAGATCTTTCACCAATCCATTCACTTTAGGTGAAATTTAATGGCAAATGATTTAAAATTCCATACTTAATCTGCAGTGCATATGTTGTTCTGTTAAATCCTATGGAGGAAATAGTTCCCAGTGCACTGACAGGACTACACTTGATTACATTGAACTGATCAATGAATCAGCAATGTTAGATTGCAGGATAACATATTAATATGGAGAACAAAATATATTGATTCCCCCCCCCCTTTTTTTTTCTCTCTGTGTATGACCCTAGCTCTGGAAAAAACACAAAAGCTCTATACAAATTTATCAAACTGCATTATACTAGCTTGGACTTTTAAGCCATACGTGCTATTTGAGGAATTTTTACACTCAACTACCTATACAGTCAGTTAGAATAAGGGATAGATTAAAGTATATAGGACTTACTTGCTTTCCTTTTTCAATATTTTTCCAAATATTTTTCTACATCAAAACAGTTCAAAGGGAAGTTCACAGTCATAACCACACACAAACACAAACACAAACACAAACACAAACAACTAGAAAACAATAAAAGCATACAAACAAAAATAGATCCTAGGGTTGTGATTTTTCTTTTTTTGCAATTCTAGTGATATAAATCTAGAAAAGTCTTAGAGAACTATTGTCATAGCTGATTGAGTAGAAAGACCAGCTTTAACCTTGCCTGCTAGGGATTATGGGAGTTGAAGTCTAACATAGCCAAAAGGCATCAAGTTGGAGAAGTTTGAACGAAAGCATTTGGATTCAGATAACAATGAGTAACACAGCAATAAGCTTTTCTATTTCTTCAAGCAGAAAATTCATTTTGAAGCTTTCTTTGGTGGTGTTCTAGTATTTGCTAAAGTTCTTTTCTTAAATGCACCAACCAAACTCATTATTGTTTGATGACTCAGAAACATTTCTACTCAAGCAAAGGAAGTCTGACTTCAAATCCTAGTTCTCATATGTAGGCCCCATTGTTTACATAGGTTTATTTTAAATATTATTTCAAAAAGTCTCGGATATTTCATAAAGTCAACCGCACAGGAAAGGAAAACAAACCCAGTAAGAGCTTGAAATGAAATAAATTGGGTGGTTTAGTGGTTTTTTAAAAGGTTTTATGCATTCAGACTCCAAACAAATCACAAATGCACTAATAACTTTTTCATCGTGTTCATTTTGTACACATAAACACATTTTTAAGAGATATGCAATTGGCACCAGACAGCTCTCCATTATTTTGAGAAATATACTAAGGCAGGCCTGTGCAACTTGTGACCACCAAGTAGAAAACAATGTACCATTTCAGTACAGCAGCCCACCAAGGGCTTGATAAACTTGTTGTTGCAATCTGTCTAGGCATGCAAAAACACGAAGACTATTAAACATCTGCCTGGCTATATGCGGTTGCTGAAGGGACTGCCATTGGTTTGGAAACTAACAGGTTGTGTAAGCCTATCCTACACAAATTGCTTTTGTAAATGTAGAGTCAACGTTATTAGGAGGTGCCTTCTTTTTCCTAAAGAATGCTACCTGTGTAAAAGAAATGACTCCTCTAAAATCACCTTGTTTTAAAATCTGATTCTTGCAATATCACTTTGCCCAAACAACAGAGCACTGTGAAAGTAGAACACATGAGCAGATATGCATTTATTTCATTCTGAATTAAACCCTGAGTCAAACAGATTCCATTTGGCTGAAATATAGCTAATTGCTAAATGAAGGCTCTGAATAATAAAAGAGTGATGTGTGAATAATAAATTAGTGGCTTGTTTTCATTGGATTATCCTTACTCATTTCAGAACAGAGAAACATTTTACTTGGATAGCAGCACTGATTTCTCCTTCCCCAAGAAATATTGCTGAGTTTAACAGTTCTGGCATCCCTCAAAAGCCTCAGATTTTTCATTAAAAAAAAAAAATCTCAACATAAATGTACATGGAAAGGTATTCAAGCTGTCAGATATTTTGCTTGAAGTGCCTTTTTATGTTTGTTTGTTTGTTTGTTCTAGTTTTTCTTTAGGTTGTATATTGGATATATCTGCAATATTAACCATAGCTTTATGGTGCCCCTTGGTGAGCTGACAAAGTTCTTGAATTAGAGATCACACACTTATATGGGAATTGTCCTG